ACTCAATCGGGTAGACAAAACGAGTATTCACTGTATGATTGAGGTGTATACTCAATGCAGTTTTCATGGCAACCGGATTGATTAATCCATATCTTGAACCCCCCCCCCCCCATAGTAATTTGGAAATGAGAGTTATCTGGTAGTGGTGAAACAAATTTAAAAATACCATGTCAACCAGATCACATCATGTAATCGATTGGTTCTTGTGGTAATGGTATTCCTTCCTATAAAACTGCATGACAATTCGCTCTTTACCTTTTGAGTTATGGTGAAGAATTCTTACACAAAGACGTGGATCTCTCTCGACAACGTAATATTGCATTGAACGTATATATAATAATTATAGTAGTACCAATAAGCCATTCTCCAAATATCAGTAAATATACTGACAAAATCAATGAAAGCGGAGCATTACAAACCCGCACAAGGGAGTCAGATCAGGTGTACGTGAAGGGTAAGCATCTGCTGCTGGCATGCCACACTCGCCGTGATGTTCCAAAGTCATGTCAGGGAAAAATTTCAAATCAAGTTTACTGAACAAACAACCACGCCAAGTCACAAGGACAAACACGACCACATACATCAATCAACAAACAAATCTGCAATCGTGTTACAGACAGGAATCCCATAGGAAGCCACCAACTCATGATGGTGACCAAAAAACTTCTTAAATGCACGTTTAAGTTGAGGAATCAGAAACCCTTGGCTTATCGACTTGGCAGTCAATAGTTGAGATCTGGTCAGGAAAGCCTAGAACACGCTCCCGAGTAACACACAAGCTGTGAAATATAAACTCCATAAGCTGGTGATGTAGGAATGTTGCTATCAATATATGGAATGTTCACAATAGCAAAATTAAAATCGTCACGCTTGTCATACAGTTTTCCACTTTACAGTTTTCAAATTCGAGTAGTAGTTCAAGATATGAAGCAGAATTCAGTGTGTCAGTAGTATCCTTAATTTGAAGTTCATTAGAATACATAGCATGTAAATAACTACTAAACTGGGTATTGTTCTGTGACAGAACATCATCAATATAACGAAATGTGAAATTGAAGGAACGAGCCATTTTCTTGGCTCTATTTTTCATTAAACCTTCACTGAATTCCGCTACATAAGAATACAAAAACAATTCAGCAAGCAAAGGGGCGCGATTAGAGTCCATATGAATAACAACAGTTTGCTGAAAGACTTGCCCACCACAATGAACAAATATGTTATCATTTTCACTAAATCGTCTTCAGTATACTTCTGTCTTGAATCTGAATCATTCTTTGTATCAATACCAAAAGACAAGAGAACTGACCTATGATTTAGTAATATATCCTCTTTGAACAGTGCCGTAATTGTATATGTAGGGTCTCCGTATATATCTTTACCTAAGCTGCCACCCTCCAGGTCGCTTTTGGAATGAAAGAGACAGAACCAACGAATGGTAATTGTCCTTTATTGAATTGAACAACTCATATATGATACGTTTGAATGAATTGAGATGAATTGATTGTTTTCTATCAACGTGCTTTCTTGTTAGATAGTGTTATTCGATTGTGCATCTTCAAGAACAGGGATATATATATATATGCAAAGTGGAAATACTATCACTACAAATCAGAATGTGAATAACAATTGAAATAAACACATGATAAGGGAAACAATGTTCATGACTCGTGTAAAAGTTAAAACAGTATTTATGTTTTTAAGATATCATTGGGGTTTATTTGAATAGCGCGAGGTTTATTTGATACCACAAGGTTTATTTGGATACCGCGGGGTTTATTTGAATTACATAACGATGGCGCGCAAATAGTCGGCCAAATCCTGCAATTGCTGCTGCTCCAGCTTATCAACTAAAACATCAATTGAAGCACACGAGCCGTTTTGCATTTTCCACTCCCTCAGCATCTGGTAGATCTGCTCCTTTTCGTCACGTTGGTTATCTGCGACCAAGTGGCTTATACAGGCGTCTGATAGGCCAAGTGTACGTGCAAAGGATTTCCACTGATTACTGGACAATTCTTCTGACAAGTAGCGTATGGCTTTTTCGAAGTCTGTGAATATAATTTCATAATATTTTTAGACAAACCAATTAATATACTCAACAGCGATTTAGAGATACACATAATTGCATACATATTAATTGAAAATAACATATTACCTCTTTTTATGACTGCTGCAGGCAAACTTGCTCTAATGATATTGACATATCTATCCATATGCGCATTTTCTAAAGCGGTGAATAATGTATTGATTGATTTGCATTGAGAACTTTTCTTGCACCACAGATCAAGCATAGCATGTGCCTTTCCAAGATTGTCTGACTTTTGGCTGCATTTATAAATTTCCCCGGGCGTTAGACCAAGTTGTCGCCCAAGCTTTTTCCATCGATTCTCTAGCTGGATATATGTGGCCAAAATGTCGATGGTTACATCCAGTTCTGCAATATGTAGGAGGAACATGAACAATAATAATAATAATAAGGTGTAATAAGACTTGCACTTGTGTCGATGTTTATGCTATTTGATGTTATACGTAATTTACACCATCCAAGTATATGACACATTTTCACGTGTGTAATACAAAAAAACAAAATATGGTACTTACCTGTATCGGATAACTGTATGTTGCATAAAAGAAAAAAAAATATGTTGGGGTTACTACACTTATTCAAAGTTATTTAAGCTTTGCGAAATATTGCATTTTTAATTTGAGTAAACTAATGACAATATTCTAATAATTCTTGATATAAACACTTTAAATGCGATGGTAACAGTAAGGAACTCTAGTTGCTTGTATGTTTACTTTGGTGTGTTCTATGTCTAATCAAATGTTAAATATTGAACTGCTAACGTTCATTTCTATGCTGCTTCGTGAATAGCAAAGTCGTGCTTTTTACTTCAGTAAACCATCATGGGATAAATCAATTTATATTCAATTGTGGTAATACCAAAGACAAGGGGCCCAGTATGGGACATGTTCTAGGAACGATGTGGTATTAGGTATATTAATCTTACCCTTGAATATAGCGAAAATTCTAGTTCTGTGATTGGCTCTGCTTGGTAGGGATCAATTGAATCATCATTATGACTATGATCAATTCGATAAAATTCTATAAAACCCTTTTGGACCACTGGTACTTCCTGTCTTTTCTTTGGTTCAACACGTATCCACCAATAATTGTCTTGCAACGAATGAAATGATTGGGTTCTCTTTTTAGTTTTAAGAGTAAACATGTCAGACGATTTAATTGTAATTTTGTCCCCATTATGCATCTGGATATCGCCACTGAACGGTACTTTAAGCAAACGAGTGCCATATCCCCATTTCTGAAATCTTACAACTTGTTCAACCATTTTACACTTTTCTGCTAGACAAATTAGCATTGTTTTTGGATCGTCGGTCTTTTGAAGAAGAACTATCTTCATCAGCTTGATATCTTCTTCCACTTTCTTGACAACTTTATTCCAGTTGTTCACAATCTCCTCTGTTGTTTTATGCACTGCACGTGCTGTGACATATCTGAATATTAAAATAAATGACATTTGTCACCATTTGACGTAATATAGTAAATACTAATATGTCCTCTTTCAAAACAATTTATGTTAAATCCCTAATACATTTCATTAACTCACCCACACATGTAAGGTGTACTTATGGTAATATCCAATTCCCTTGGTTCATAGTGTACAGTATCTGTAACATCTAGCCATTCATTAATATTATGTCTGTCTTCAAGTATTCTGAGTTCGGCGTCCTTCATATTATCTAACGTTGGAGGCCATGGTAATCCAATTACAAATGGTTCGGATGCAGATGTTCTATGCCCCTCTTGCGTTATCATACGATACAATGGACTGAAACTGATTTCTCTCTCATTTTCACCGGCATTACAAATGTTGTCAACAAGATGCTGGTCAACATTGTACACCTAAATGACAAGATATATATGATTTAAGAAAGAGCAGTAAACCAATTCGCATAACTGTGATTCCTCTTACAACAGTGCCCATAATTGACTGGATATATATGGTCAGACCAAATGATTATATATTCGCTGGTAATGCTTTACCCTTTGTGTTACAGTAATTCTATCATTAGTAGTTTGTGCTGGTACCACTATTGATATCCCCGCATCTACAGATGACTCACATCCACTCTCATCGACGTACAAAACTTCAGTATGTGGTCGTGAAGCAAAGACAAACATTCCAAGGTCTGTGACTTCTGTGCTGACTGTCTGATCCTCCTGATTCAGAAACAAACAGCATTATTGTTACCTTCCTGCAATGGTATTCTGCAAACAACGTTATTTTCAGGACCAATCATTGGATTTCTACAATGGGGTTACTCTCCTCGAATTTAGGGGTATAGGCTCTGAAGAGACTAGAATTTGAGTTTGGCATGTTTAATCATGACATGATCACTTAAACAGCAATTTTCATTAGCTTATGAACATGAGATATGGCTCACCCTTGTGGACTTCAATGTCGTCCAAACGTCTTCTTTTTTTAACAGCGCAAAATCTCTCAAGCCATCTGCAGACTTGCACTGACAGCCTACTTTCACTGCGCTGTTGAGCAAGACTTGTGTTTCACCAGAAAGCTTAATAACATTTGATTCCATTGTAGGATAATCCATCAATTCTGGCTGTAAATCTTCTACAACCTGAACTTTTATGTCTACATCATTCTGAACTGCCCGAGGAGGTATGCTAATGAAGTATCCACCTGGCAGCTTGTGTGATTGATATTCCTAGATTAAAGTTAATTGTTGCATTAATTTGCAGATATCATCATTTCGCTAATATTTTTTTTTAATTCAATACTCTGAAAAAAAGGCAGAATGGGAAATCACAAACCTGGCTTCGACGAATTCTCACAACTTTAGTATCTTCTTTGTGATAGGATGACTCTAGTGTTGAAATAACATCATTCTCAATTATTTGAATTGACCCATGTGATGCGATTACTTAAATATGGTATAAATTTGTATGGATTTATTTAGTTTGTCTATTTCAATCATGGCAGCATCATTAAAAGACCTTGCGATGGAAAATATGTATCATAATTTACCTTTGTCTAAATCCTGAGACATTGGATTTCCTTTCAAGCGAATATCACAATCAATCAAGTTATTCACTTCTTCAGGTAATGTCTTCAGCTTGTTGTATTCAAGATTGAGGTGTCTTAACATGGACAGTTTACCTGGGTAAATAATGAATGGGTACCATCATGGTATACATTGCATTAATATACTAGTATTTTGTTCTGTATAAACCACATGAGACACACATAATAACCAACGACTTACCAATAGCTGGTGTAATTTCTGTTAATTTGTTCATTAGCAGACTCAACTCCCTTAAGTTGGTAAGCTCCCCTATCTCTGATGGAATTGATGTCAATTGATTGTAGTCCAGCCAAAGCTCCTTAAGGCTGTATAAATTTTGTATTTCTTCCGGGATTTCCTTGATTAAGTTGTCATTCATATGTAAGACCTGCAGTTTCTTAAGCTTAAACATATTGGGTACTGATCGGAGATTATTTTTATTCAATTTTAGCTCGCTTAACTCATCTAAACTACTTAAACTGTCAGCACCACTAATGCCTTCATTGTGCGACAAGTCTAATTTCTCCAGCTGTTGTAGATTGCCTATTTCAGACGGAATGCATTTCAATTGATTACTTCCTAATCTAAGTTCAATTAGTTGGTTCATGTGCAAAAGCTCTGAAGGAATCACTGAAATATTATTGTTACTTAAGTCTAGCTTCTGTAGATTACGTAGATTCCTTATAGCGGAGGGAATTGCTGATAACCCATTGCCATCTAAAGTTAGTTTAGTCAGCTTTGGCATGTCACACAATGCAGGTGGAATTTCATTGAGCTGATTATCAGAGAGACCCAGCGTCTGTAGTCTGACAAGTTTTTTAATATCACTGGGAATACATGTCAGTTTGTTTATATTTAACGTGAGTTCTACAAGTTGTTTTAAGTCACAGAGTGCAGGTGGGATGTTTGCGATTTGATTGTACTCCAAATCCAAGACAAGTAATTCACTAAGATTAGCTATATCTGGTGGGATAAGGGATATATTATTGTTGGCTAATCTAAGGCTGGTTACTTCATTTAATTCACAGAGGCCGGGGGGAAATATCTCAATTTGATTGCTTGACACATCAATTCTCTCCAACTGGTGAAGTTTCTTTATATCAGACGGAAGCGTTGTCAAATTATTCTTGTCTAAGTAAAGAACCGTAAGATCAGACATGTCACCAATTGATGCAGGAAGGCTTTGGATCTCGTTATTGGAAAGATGAAGCTCCTCGAGCTTCAACAGGGTGGTAATGTAGTCAATATTTATCAATTTATTGCCAGATAAATTTAACTTTCGAAGTTGTTTAAGATTAGTGATGCTTTGATTAATAGATGTTAAGTGATTATCAGCCATATTTAATTTATGCAATTTATGCAGCTTAAATATGGGGACTGGCATTTGGTCGAACTTATTACTTTGTAGCTCAATTTTTTTCAATCGCTTTAATTCTGATAATTCTGTTGGCAAAAACGTCAGATAATTATTAGCTAATTTGCATTTTCGCAGGTTGGGAAATCCCGATATTGATGTTGGCAGCTTTCGAAGAGACCGTTTGTTAAGGTTAATCTCCTCGTCTGTGGGATTTGACCATCTCAAGATATCCATTCCTAAAATAAATGCAAATAAAAATAATTTACACGTTGTATTCATCCATTTGGTCTTTCATCTATGGATCTTGTTGTTATGACGACATATTGTTAAATCGCAAAATTACCTGCATGTGTCTTGTTCTACCGTTACACTTCACTAATTAATATGAGCACGAATGTTAGTACCTGTACAGTGTTCTAAAGCCAAAATCCCATGCACTCCATTAGCACATGTTTAGAACTGGGTATTTACAACACTCACACAAGGCTACAATAACACACACATGTTTTCTGTACGATTTAAAAACATCAGTTTGTTATCGGTAATATAATGTTTTTTCGGCGTGTAGTTATTACAAACAATAACGTCATCGGTCCAATATTCATCTGTGCATGCCGCCAGCGTTAGGCCGATTCAATCACCAGCAAACATCACAGGTAAGAGTTGATCAACATGTTTCTGAGAAAGGAGGGGTAGCGACCGAAAATTGGAAATAACGAGTAACCAGTGAACACGTCCGTGTATACGTATGCTTATAATAATAACCAAACAATGATTGTTAATAGGTCTATAAATATGACGTCACCGTAAAGGTTCATCCATAATAAAACGAACTATGTTGCTAAGAAACTACTGCTCAATAGCTAAACGTGTTAACTGAAGTTTCAATCAACGTCTCATTCTCTCCATGCATCAGGGAACTGTGTGTAAAGTACGTGTCCGCTTCATTTGTTTAAGACAATGAGATTTAGAATGTTCTTGCAGGGAGAATACATAGTCAACACTCAGTACCCTATACTATACTTTTGTTTACGATCACCAGTTGTTGAAGTTGGGTACACAAACACGACAATTGGTGACTCTCAAATAAGTGTAGACGGGGAAATTTGAAAGCTTTATTTATGCATGAGTAACTCCGACTGAATAGTAAATGGTGAATTTATTGCGCCCTTTATGGTAATGGGGGGTTTCGTCCCGACAACGACACATAGCTTTATGTTGACAGGCACACTGCGAATATGTTTACATTTTATACTATAGTGTGTCTGTCTTACACCAGATATTATCCACGGATTTAAAACTAGCTCACGAACTGTTATGACAATGAATTCTGTCATCCGGGATACGTACGCGTTTACAATATATCAAAGCGCAAAACGTAAAACATTGTTATACTATGCTTAGGACGAACATATTTTATTTAAAGCGCTGTCATGTTCTATCCTGCGTAAAAACTTGAGTTATTCAATGGTTATTGTGATCATCACTGTTATTATTATAAAGTAACTTTTCGAATATAAAATATGTCATACCCTAGACAAGACAGTGAAGACTGCAACATACAGTACTATTTCTGAACATCTCAAGATATTGGCAGTTTTGCATAATATTTCTTGAATTATTATTATTAGGAATTATTTTAATTCGAATATTTCGGGTATTTTCGGATGTTGCTAAAATGTGTGTGCGATATAAAGTCGCGTATACGCGAGACGTTATTTTAATGTTACTGACCGTATCCCTCCGAGCCACAGGTGAGTTCAAGAGGAAGTAACAAGAGTTAGAAATACCGGGAAAATTTATTTCTTATCATATTTGTATACACAGTTCCCCAGACATAGACATGTTTGAAGTATTGTTCGACTGTTATTGAATACTTATTTGACTAACTTCGGGTTGAAATACTTTAGATTCCAAACGCTGACAGGCGTTGCGGACTGTTTGAACGCGCAATTGATCGCCGCTGTCTGAGCGCTGTACTGCGGGCCTGTTCGTCTTAACAAAAGTAATGTTTCGTATATAGACGGTTTAGGTACTAGGCTTTAATGATAATTATTTCCAATAACATGGTATCATGTACTGTTGGCTATGTGCTATTTAAACAACGGGAAATTCGTGGCATACACCACAAAGAATACAACATTGTAATTAAAGCTATCAGGGCCAAGTTTAAATATTGAGAATGCCTTAATATTTCCCCCTGAAATATGTGTTGTTATTTTTTTTTTCAGATGATGCTTTTGTTCATATATGTTATTCAGTTAAAGCATTCATGATACACATTTTTGCCGAAATTCTAAGTGAATGGTCATTCTTTTTATCATGATAAGCTTTTATCCATACATGGTATATGCAAAATATTAAAGTAATCGAACAAAGCACTCATGAGAAACTTGTGCCCCAAATTGTGGTTATTTTTGACGGAAATCCAAGATGGCGGCCAAGACATGTGACTGATCAAAACTATTTTATTTTTTCTCATAATAAACTTTAGCCATACATGTTGCATACACAATATCAAGTTGATCAGGTAAAGCACTCATGAGGAACAAATGCCCTGAATTGTGAAAACCTTTGCTGAAATTCCAAGATAAAAAATAAAAAAAAATATTTCTCGTAAGAAGCTATGACCGCATGTGCTGATATAGTATACTAGTAGTTACATGTCCCGACACGTAGCGTCCAAAAAATGTCAAATAGACGCAAAATTCTAGCACGTACAGAGGTGACAAGAAGACGGAAGTTCGAGTGAGAATTCTTTCCGAGCACCGCCTCCGTATTTCATCATAGCGAGTGGCCGATAGCCAACCCGCATAAATCATGTTACAGAATTGCTTAACTTGTAACTACAACAAATTCGTTGCTAATGACGATTATTTAGTCAGAAAAATAATAATTTATAATGATAATTATAAAAAAAACGTTCTATAACTACATAAATACCGGTATATAACGTGTTTTACACAATGAGAACATTCTGTAATCGCAGACAATGTTTTCACATGTTACTAGCTATCTGAATCGAAATGCCAGACTGGTAACAAAAGAAATACATCAGTAAAACCGTACCGTATGATATTATCGTGTAAATGCATTCTACTCACCTTTTGCTTTTGAAGAGTTCCCAACTCTCGCGTACAGCGTAAAAGTTAGACGTATTGAATCGCCTGGCCAACGGGGTAATCCAGTTTTTGTATGGACGTCCAACTATCTTTACTTGTTCGCTTAAAAGGTTTGTAACAGTACAACGGGTATTGTTAAGATCCGTGTTTATACAGCGGACTAGTTTACATACTATTATATACGATAGTTGTCAATAGGGTCACACCCACGACCCACTATGGCTGCATTGGTCAGTGAGTACAATTAGGTTAATATTTAGTGACATTGTCCCTATATAATAATCACCTTAGGTAATCCGGCGATACATTTGTACTTGTCAATGCCAAATGGTCTGTTAAGTTGATATGCCCTCATGAGTGGACTAAATCGACTGGCAATTCTATTCACGATACAATAACTCGTGTCTAGACAAGTATTACTACGATATATTTGATTAAGAACACTACCCAGGGTAAGTGGTGACGCGGACATGTCATCCGCTGTGGTGTGCTTTACAATGTACATGTAACTACTTGCATATTCATGCGTACATCGTTACGTCACACCAGGAGCACAACGCGGAGACTGTCAATGCCATATTCGGACAGTGTTAAACTATATAGGTCGACCAAAAAAGACATTTTCTTCTAGCTGTCGTTGCTGCTCGCATTCTCAGCTCGCGACGTAGCCGACATATTAAAAAAATGGACTCAGAACTGTGCGTTCCGTGTCATTAAACCAGGCTGTGAGGCGACGGTCCGTTCCACTTCTTTCTTGTCAGTTTTATGGTTTTGCACCATAAATGTCGATCAATCGTAAAACTGTGCAAAGCAATCCCGTTTTTAGTTGTGTTGCTGCACCGACACAGTGTCTCATCATCGCGATTGGCTTGGACAGTATATAACACTGGTACTACAGTATTTATTTGCATAACACCGTACGCGTTGTCTCAGGGATTAGTAATCCTCATGCGAAAATTGTCGGTGTAAATATTGAATCGGTAATCGTCGAAGAGTCGAATGTCCATATTTGGGGCATGGTAACCGTCTTTTTTTTGTTTCTATGTCGCTCATATGGATTTTTAAAGTGAAATTAATATTGCGCATTCTTCGCACATTTGTAAAGGGGAGAGGCAATTCCCAGATTTTAGACTTAAAGCGGGAGGAGTCGTCACGTGCGCATGCGTCAGATGGCCATAACGTCTAGCCACGAGCCTTTGCGTTTTTAGCGTGTGTTGTTATCGTCGCGTGGAACTCAATTCCCGCGCGTGCGCAGGTGACGACGACCCCCCCCGCGCTTTAAGACTTCAAATTTGATAATTCTATACGGGGAAAAAAGTCGAGATTTGTGTATTAAAAATAATTTAAATTGACCAAAGTTATGCCGAGTTAGCGTGTGCTAGCTATAATGGCGTTGGCCAAAAAATCTTCACGCAAGTCCGAGCCAAGCGTGAATTCGATGTTAGTCTTTAATATATAAATAATAACACATGTTTTTTAGGGTGATATTGCCCGAATGACCGTGTGTTATTTATTTTATCACATCGAACAGACAACTACTATGACAATCACATCTGCCATACATCACTCACACCCGCTCTTCCCCACACTTGTATTTGAAGTATGCTATATTTTATCTATCATAACAAGCTTCGAATTACTCAATAACATACATGCATTGTTTGCTGAAAAAAATCCTAAATATACTCAGTAAATGTTATTTTCGGCCACGGCTACTCATTTTAGTAACCGTGTTTCAACAGTGTGAATCACTCAATTCTCAAACGCAAGTTATTTGATCACTCACCAGATAAAAATGCCGTGCCGTGGAAGTGACTGAAAAAAAACTTCCTCTCTAAAGTACCACACCTTCTATTCACAAGCCACACAGCTTTAGAGCGTTTTCGGTTAGCATCGGCGTGGAACGCGTAGAAATGCACACAGCGTAGAACGCGCCGTAGCGATCCCGGCTTCGACGTTTCAGCGTCGGCTTTGCCGTACATATTTGCTTCATAAAAATACCCCAAAATATCAAAACATAGTATCTTACTCAGTATCCATTCTGGTACGTTCGGTGTCTATTTCGGGTGGCTAAAATTCCTTCAAAACTGTAATGTATTGAGTTTGCCTAAGCGTATTGCATACAGTCGCTGTACAGCTTCGTTGTGAGTTTTGGGAAATATAGTCTCCATCCATGTAAAGATTCAATTCTGATTCAAATCCTCTAATTTATAGCAGTAAGAGTGACGATCTGGTATATTACAGAGCCTGGGAGTGATATGCTACAAACACCTTGAAAACAACAGCGGCCGGGGCAGCACCAGTGCAGCAAACGACAACCAGCAAACAGTGACGTCATCCATATGATATAGCCGTGTAATATCCTCTTGGCGGGCAATATAC